GTTATCTTATTCCTGTGGTTTTCAGTTATTTCTTCCATCATATTGTTGATAAACATATATGACTTCTGTGTTAACACTGGTTTTGCAACCCAGGTCTTTCTTGTCTTGGGAAAGACCACTCTATATCTGCCTTCTCCAGACCTGGTTAGTGCTTGTTCTCGCGTGCAGTTGTTGTTGTGATCAATAATGGCCAGTTGTGTTCTTCCAATCATTCCCTGGTAAGAGAAGTGCTTTCTCTTGGGTGCATACTTTAGTAGGAGAGAATGGAAGACTTCTAGGTTTCCAGTATGATGACCCTCTGTCAGTTTAACAATATCCTTCAGAAACTTCTGATTACATATGACTTCTTCAAGAACTACATGAGCAGGTGACCCTGCCTTTAACCAGGTAATTTCTTTGCGTTCTCTTCTAGATAAGTTTGGATGCTTGCAAGATAAAGTGGTTGACCCTTCTTTCCAGGTGTGCTTGTCACATATATGGTAAATGATTGACTTCCAGTTTGTAATGAGAACTTCTGGGTCTTGGTTGCAGGTTTGTACACTCCACCAGAAATGGTTGCTGATTGATTTTATCCATGGTTGTAGATCTTTATTTGCCTTGAGTTTTGCCTTCTTTGACAGCTTCTTTGTCACCCATTTTGACATATGCCACACGTCGTATTGGTGCTTGATGTAAGGGTAGTTTTTCTGTAGTTGCGACGTAATTTGAGTATGACGGTCGGTAGTTAAACAGCGTATTGAGACTTCTTTATTTAGTAAGTTATTAAGTGTTCTTTTACAACCTTCATATTCCATTGCATTTGATGACGTTACTTCCGAGACATGGACTAATGAAAATGCAGCTATTTTGCCTGAATCTTCATCCATAATGCTGTATGTGCCGTACTTGGCATTATGGCCTGGACTGTCCGCTCTTCCATCACCACATAAATTAACAGCAGTATTACTATTCTTCAGCTCATTTGTAACAGTTAGCTGCTGTTCTTGATAATGCTTATTTATCAGTGGCAGTACAAAGTTATCTTGGGTGTTATAAAATGATGACTCACTAATAAAATTCAATTTGAGTGCTTTAGCAAAACTTGAAAATTCTTGGAATGTGCCACCAGTGCATATAATGGCAGCTGGTATTTCTAAATTTCCAATTGGAACATTGTTATTTATGTATGCCTGGGAAGTCCACACAAATTCATGATGCTGTAGACACAATGTACGTATTTCCACCATGCTACCTTTTGTTTTCTTTTTTAGTTCACTTACTGGTGACGAACAGTAATGACAAAATTGAAAAAGTTTGTCAAGTTCACTTTCATATACAATAAATGTATGGTTATTACCAGTACTGTGGTCTTCTGAAGTATCTGAGTATTTGCTGCTGTCATCTGAGCTATGATAGATGTAATCTTGGTCAGAATCTTCATCTGATGGTGCTTCCAGGTCAGATATATCACTATTATCACTATCAAAGACAATATCAGAGGCAAGTTSTCTTTMCTGTTTTCCAGGTGACTCAGTACATTGGGTTTGACAGTAGCTGTGATCAACAAGGCTATTGTTTTGAATGTTAATCACACACTGTGACSCCAAATCAACTRGGGAGGTATGATCATGACCTGACATAWTGTTATTTCTTTTTTCAGGTGGTTTCGGTGTCTGAGTGCCTATAGTTCGGTGATGAGTTCCCAAGCAATCTGTAGGTGAATACTGTGTACTGGCATCAACAGTTTTACTGTCCTCTTSRGTTGTAATTACTCTATCTTCAGGTTCAGTGGGATATTCTTGGGAATGGATATCAGTTGATGCATTTTCAAAATCATGCAGTATTTGGTCAAGTTCCTTGAACACAAATATTAGACAAAGAATTCAATATTTTGAGKTTTTTTTATTAAATAACATTTGTTCAGCAATACATCAGTTCTCAAGTGTAAATATGTGCTTTTATATCTGTTTACAAYATGATGTTAGAAACTGTTACACCATAGAGTAATAAAGCTTACACATTMAATTGAAGTAAAACACTTTGGTATGCTSTTATGACTTTGTACTCTTTTCTATCTATTAGACTGTCACACTAYAGTCCAACTTTGTTTCACAGGTTTTTTTCACTCTTTTTAACAAAAGTATAAACTAAAGTGTAATAATTATTATGAATAAAGTATAGAATTTCTGTAAAATACCACATATTTAACGGACTAAGAACAACTTCTTTTGAACAAAAGTACTTCAACTTAATAAGAGATTGTCTCACCTCTTGTTTGTCTTGTTTTCTTCGTCTTTGAAGCGAAAATAGTCGTTGTCTTGTCTCTTTTTGGGGATTGAATACGGTAGGAATAGAACCAGGCTTGAGAGTTCTTTTCTCTTTTTGGCCCATTAAATGCTTAAACGATTTGTCGAAGCAGTCACTCGAAAAGTGTTCGCTACAAACGTAGCAGGACTCTGGTTTTGGTGGATTTTTTTTTTTTACTTTTTCAATCCAAATTTTTGCAATTTTTTTGTCTTTTGGGAGTCTATGAAATGATACATCTCTTCCCTTGACTGTTTTTGATCCATTATGACAGCCAGGCACCATGCAATAAGGCATATTTTTTAACAAGATTGGTAAAAATTGTAAAGAAAGCCGTGTCGCCGAGTGTTTTTATTGAATTTGGCGCGAAATGCAAAGTGCAGACCCCGCAGTGACGTCATAACTCCTTTTGAATTGACTTCTGGGAAATTCAAAATGGCGATCGCCAGGGTCGGATTTATCGTGTTTTCCGTAAATTGTTTCTCTGTNCAACAGACTCCTTTTTCTCCTTTAGACGCAGTTCAATCATGTCCTCTGCTGCCAACATTGCATTCTTCCATTCTTTAGCAGCATTTACTGTTTTACTTAAAAAAGTAACTGCTCTATCAGCCTTAATTCCAAGACTTTCAACTTCACTTCGACTTCTGGTTGCAAATATAACAGCTTTCAGTGCATTCTTATCATATTCTGTGTCCATTGAATTTATAATACTTTGCAAGTTAGAAGCAGTGAGCTCATACCGTACATTCTTCCCCTCTATGGTATTTCCCATGTCTTTCAAAAGCCATGCAATATCTGTGAAGTCATTTTCGAGTATGACATATCTGAAAGCATATTTAAAAACAATTTCACTGTGCATCACTGTGCTTATCACTGTACTTATCTGGGCTTCAAATAAGCATTCTATGCATTTTAATATTAAAAGACTGATTTTGGTGTACTCATACTTCAGCTTGCACCGAGATAATAATATCACTAATGCAATGTAATATTATAAATATCACTATTAAATACAATGTAATAATATTACTAATACAATGTATTAAAATAATATTACTAATACAATGTAATAATATCACTAATGCAATGTAACAAATAAGAATTTAATACCTTGTACCGTGAATAGTAGCCACTAACACACGCAGACCATATTCAGGATTCAAAAGCTGGTCCCTGAATTCTTCTTTTTGTATGGGCTTCTCAAAAAAGCTACTGTATAGACCAAAAGCTTCTCAAAAGTGTAAAAAGCCTCTTCCACGTCCATCTGTAAAACTGGATGAAGCGAGAATTTGGCGCAAAACATATAACAATGCTGTTATTACTTGTGACTTATGGTGAGCTTTTCTCTTTTGGTAAAACTTCAACAATCCTTCAAGTTTTTCTTCGTTTTCTTGGACTAAACATGTCTGAAGTGATTTACGAATACTTTCTGAAAATACCTGGTCTTTACGCTGTTCACTTTTAGTTGGAAGAGTTGATCTTATAGAAGCTGTGTTTAGTAGTACTACAGTAGACTTGGAATCATCTTGTCTTTGATATCCCACAATACAAAGGGATGAATGGGCCACAGGAAACCCAACCTCGATGCATTAAACTATCTTTTATTCTAGTGTCAGCTGTCATACGAATATATAACTATTCAGGAAAATGTCAAAAGTAATATCTATTAAAGTGATGATAAGAATGATTTTAATAGTGGAAATGTTTGAAAAAAATCTCAGTTTTGCTGAGATGAGTTTACTTGGGTGCCCTGTGTAAAAATGAGAGGAGCCTGGACCAAAACAAGATGGCGGACGGAGATGCTAAAGAGTGTGAGCTAGTAGATGTGAATTCAAACATTAAGAACTTTCTCACTCTTGCTGATTTAAGTCAATTTGAGAATGCATTCATTAAGAACTTTCTCACTCTTGCTGATTTAAGTCAATTTGAGAATGCATTCAAAAGCGAGGGAATTACAAAAGCTCTACATATTAGAGATGTTACAAATGAAGATCTGAGARGAATAGGTGAGTGATTTAGATGAAATGAGACGTCTTCRAAGAATATTGAGTTTTGATATATTAAAAGCTTAAATGATCATCTATTCTGAAACATTTCCTTTTTAAATAGGCTTGAAAGAGATACAAGCAAGGCGTTTTGATAGAGAGTGGAAAAATATTGAGCCATTCATCACCACAGATAATGCAGACATAAATCATAGTTCTGATGACATTGGAAGCTTTCTAGCCATGGCTGATTTAAGTACTTTTGAGGCACGCTTCATATCTGAGGGAGT